ACGTGACCATCGGTAAGGACCCTCCCCCAACCCCCCTGCCCCAAACCCGTCACCCTGGGCGCAGCCGTGGGGCCGCCCAGGGGGTGACGCCGGGCCCTTCCTCGGCAGGGCCCAGGACCGTCATCCACCCCAAGGCCAGGATCATCGCGGAAGCGGGGCCGATCGTCATCGGGGAGGGCAACCTGATCGAAGAGCAGGCGCTCATCATCAACGGGTCGGTAGGAAGGGGGGTCTGTCCCCCAGCCCAGCGCCCCGTCTCGGGGGAGACAGCACCTCCGACCCTCCCAGCGCAGCCTTGTCCCGCAGAGCCGGGCCGGATGGGGAGAGGGGGTGTTCCCGGGCTGGGTTTTTCAGAGGGTTGGGGTTTTCTGAAGTATCTCAACACCGATCCCATCTCAGTCTTGTCAAACAGCAGCTTACAGCTCTTTCAGGAGCAGAGCGCTAGCTTAAAATCTCTGAGAAGATAGGCTTTAAAACAAAAAACCCCAAATTTTTGTGCTTTTGCATGTGTGTGACACTATAGCTAGGGAAGAAGTCTGCCTTCTGAATCCTTCTCCAGCTGACAGATCCATCTCATCCTGGAAGGATCCAATCCTGAGAATGAGAGGCCCTGGGCAAGAGCAAGGAGTGTCAAAACCCTGACACTAGCTGGGTTGGAGGGGATACATATGACTTCAGCCTCTAACAAGAGTGAGGGCCAACTGCCAGACAGGACATCTGCCTGATGTCCAGACTTGGGAATATGTTCTTCCATCTTGCAGTTTTCCAGAAAATATCACACCAGAAACCGAAGAGGTGGAGCCCAAACCAATGGTGATCGGCACCAACAATGTTTTTGAAGTTGGATGTTGTATCTTTCCTGCGCAGCGAGACGGACCGTCTCTGCCCGTATGGATCGGTCCGGGGGGAGCGTGTGGGCTCTGTCAGGGTGTAACCAGCGCAGGGCGGTTTCGGGTGGAGGGTGTTGGTTTGGAAATGCTGTTGGGGTTTACCTTTTGAAATAAAACATTTGGCAGTTTTCTTTAACACGGACCCGTAGATTCCCAAGCAATGAAGGTGGGAGATAACAACGTCATTGAATCCAAAGGTAAATCTCAGCGTATTGTCTTGGCCCTTGGGAGATTTTGATCTTGTGGACGCTGGGAACAGCGGATTATGTTGCTGCAGCTGAGCCCAGAGCGCATCTTGTTGCAAAGCTGTGGTTTTCACACTGAACCCATGTGTGTCGCTGCCCTGGTGCGAGCTGGGTTGTGCTGGCACTGAGCAGCTTGCCATGTTAATGTTTGGTGGCGCAGGCTTTAACCGTGCCGTGGAGTTGACTCTCACAGGGATTCCTCTCTCTCTCTCACAGCATACGTTGGCAGGAACGTCATCCTGACGAGCGGCTGCATCATCGGGGCCTGCTGTAACATCAACACCTACGAGGTGATCCCCGAGAACACCGTCATCTACGGGGCCGACTGCCTCCGCCGTGTCCAGACCGAGCGGCCGCAGGTGGGTGTGACACACCGTCAGTCACCCTCCTGTCCTCCAGAGACCATCCTCGGGGTGGTGATGGGACTGCTGCCTCACCTCCCTTCCTCTGTTCCCAGCCCCAGACGCTGCAGCTGGATTTCCTGATGAAGATCTTGCCAAACTACCATCACCTAAAGAAGACCATGAAGGCCACGTCCACTCCTGTCAAGAGCTGAGCACCTTCTTCCCCAGACCAGAGGTTTTGTCTGGTCCTGTGAAGCACTACATGGCCCCGGGAAGCAGCCGGTCTCCACATCCCTCATTCCAGCTTTGAAAAAAAAAATTAAACCCCAAAAACCCCAGGTCTGGCTTATTTGTGTTCTTTGTTTATATTCCGCCAAGCATCTTGAGCATGTCCTGGCCGTACAAGTGTCGTTCCCCACTGCGTTCCAGCCCACCTGCAGGGAGATGGGACCATGCCAGGGGAGAGCTGGGCTCCTCAGAGGGAGGGGTGCAGGAGGAAATTGATGCTGGAGCAGAAATTCCTGTAGGAAAGAGGGGGAGAGAGGAGAGAGCATCAGCAGCTGCCTGCAGAGGAATCTCAAGTACCATCTGGGCTGCAGGACATGGGTTTTTGATTTGGGACCAAAGCGGTACAGTGCCCACCGGAGCTGATTGGATTTTGTCACAGAGTTCAGTTGCAGGGATACCAAAAAATAAAAACTCAGTTTTTTAGCTTTGCAACTCCAACCCAGGGTCCAACACTGCTGGAAAACCGCAGCTCTTCCACAAAGCCAAGTCCAAAGAAGGGCTGTGAATATTGTCCCATCCACCACCACCTCCAGCTCACCCGAGCAGCCTCAGCCAAAGCTTTTTGTGGAGATACTCAGGGGGAGGGAAAACAATGGGAGATGAAACACACCTTGTGCTTCCAACTTCTTCCCCTGCTGAAAGATAAGGCAATCTTTTGCTGGGAATTTACCCCAAAAGCAAGAGGCTCTAGCAGATTGGGGTAACTAGAGCAGTCCCTGCACTCCAGATTCCCTCTAGGGGCCATCTGCCCTCATAGCTGGACACTTTCCGCTCCCCCAAATCCAGCTGGCCCTGCTCGTTTCCATCTCCCTCCCAGCACGGGAAGTTCTGCTCTGTAAATCACCACTGCAGGGAGGCTGAAAACCATCGGTGGCAGGGCTGAGTCTGTCCAGGCAGCCGGCAGGACGCGCAGGCAGCTGCCCGCAGATCTGTTTTGGCTGCTGGGTCGCAGAAAGGTGAGCGATGGCCTCAAACTCCTGTTGGGTACGAGCCCTCTGCCATCGGCAGGGTGTCCTCAGCGTCACCTCCATCCCCTACGTATTGCGTGTGGGCAGCATCTGCCCTGGACACAGCCGATTTTCACCCCGAGGGTCTCCGTCACGCTGCTCTGGAGTCAAGCACAGCCCCGTGGGACCGCAGCCCCCTCCGTGGGGATGTGGCGGGACTGGGGGTCAACCCAAACCCAAGATACACAATCAAGTGAACAGGGTGCAAGGTCCAGCACAGGCTCACCCAAAGCCCAGCCTGAGCAGGGAGCAGCGTGGGGAGGCCTAAATGTGGGCGGGGAGGGGGTGTGGGCGGCTGAGGCCCCCAGGTGGGGCTGGTTGGGGTGATGGGCCCCCACGGCCCTGGTCCTGCTGGGGGTGAGGGCAGAGGGGTGGGCAGGGCTGGCACGCCACAGCGGGACCCCTGCTCTAGTGTCGCCTCCTTCTCACTGCAGCCAGCCTCTGGTGCCCCTACATCCCCCCTCCTGCACCCTGTGTCCCCAGCACTGTCCCCTCCTCTGCCCCACAGGCCTGCTGTAGCCATGCCGTCGGGACTGTCCCGTGTCTCCAGCCTTGCTCTGTGTCCCCAACTTTGTGTCCTGAGTCCCCAGCCTTGTGCCCTGTGTCCCTAGGACTGTCCATCTCCCCGGCCTTGTGTCCCATGTCCCTGGGACTGAGTTGCATGTCCCCAGCCTTGTGTCTCATGTCCCTGTCCTCGCATTCCGTATCCCCAACCCCATGCCATGTCCCCAGCCTGTGTCCCGTGTCCCCGTGACAGTGTCCTGTGTCCCCAGTTTTGTGTCCAGAGTCCCCAGCCATGTGCCCTGTGTCCCCAGGACTGTCCATCTCCCTGGTTTTGTATCCCATGTCCCTGGGACTTGCATGTCCCCAGCCTTGTGTCTTGTGTTCCTGTCCTTGCTTTCCGTATCCCCGAACCTGTGCTGTGTCCCCCAGTTGTGTCCAGAGTCCCCAGCCATGTGCCCTCATGTCCCCAACCTTGCTGTGTCCCCAGCTTTGTGTCCAGAGTCCCCAGCCATGTGCCCTGTGTCCCCAGGACTGTCCATCTCCCTGGTTTTGTATCCCATGTCCCTGGGACTGTGTTGCATGGTCCCAGCCTTGTGTCTCGTGTCCCTGTCCTTGCGTTCCGTATCCCCAACCCCGTGCCCAGTGTCCCCAGCCTGTGTCCCATGTCCCCAGGACAGCATCCCATGTCCCCAACCTTGCTGTGTCCCCAGCTTTGTGTCCAGAGTCCCCAGCCTTGTGCCCTGTGTCCCCAGGACTGTCCATCTCCCCGGCCTTGTGTCCCATGTCCCTGGGACTGTGTTGCATGTCCCCAGCCTTGTGTCTCCCG